CCGCTGGCCGAATGCTGTTGTTGCGTAGAAACTCTAATTTTAATTGTAAAGAGTGCTTTTTTTAACTGTTTTGTTCCGTTTAAGGTTTTTATGCGGTTAATAAATCTTCATACAGTAGTTGTATAATTATCAACAATTTGAAAGTGTAAGTGGCGAGTTAAGCCTAATTAAACCGCCATTTGTTTGCATTTGAAACTCAGTAGAATTATGAATTAAGCCAGTTTCTGCACCTTCAATGTCTTTTTGCCGAGTGAGACCATAAGTAAAATTTCAGTTTTCAGTTTTGTGAACCGAAAAATCTGCCTTCTTGCCCCCCCCCCGCTGGACGAAAGGCTTTTTCGCGTAGAAACTCTAATTTAAATTGGGAAAAATTGCTGTTTTAACTGTTTTGGAGTTTTCTCTGTTTCTGTATTTTGTTTTATGATTTTAATGAAGATGTTTTGAGTTTTTTCGTATTTTTGTTTGCCGTGAAGTGAGAACTGAATTAATTGAATGTGAAGTATACCTCTAATGAAAACGAAGGAAATAAGTTTAAATGAAATGCAACAAAAAATGCGTATCTTTTGATAGGCCATATAAGGAAGGCGTGTGGAATCCACGTCAGATTTCTCTTTGACTCTACGGATGTTAAGATAGTTTGTAAGTCTTTTCTTCATTTCTTAGCTTTGCAATCAAATTTTGAATTACTAGATGTATTTTTATTTATATCGTTTAAGCCAAACGTTTCAGTGTTCTACTTGGATATTCTGAATGAAACAATAAATACCAGCAACTGTTTTCAAATCTGCAGTATAGCAAAATGTTGCAGACATTTTCAATATTTGAAATCTTATTTAGTATTTTTTTAAAATCTAAAATTATGCAATCCTTAAGGTATAAGTAAATTTTTCGACTCTATGAAAACGTTAGGCGCATAGTTTCAGTGAACATGAAGGCCAAGATTTTATCTCGATAATAATTTTTTTTTTGCATAAATCAATTTGTACTTGAATCATTTTATTATTGTTATTATTCACCAGCACAAATAAAATCGATATGTATTAAAATTACAAGGTAACTAGTAAAAGAAATAATTTTCTGTACTTTGTGCTCAATATAGCTAAGAAAGAATGAGAAAAATTATATATTGGGTCATGTAAAAATGTCTCCGCGCATTTTTGGTACAATTTTGAACAAAAAATTCTTTATTGAAAATCAGTTTTAATCAAGTACATATTGACGGTTATTATCTATGATCTTTTGCCATTTTTCGGGTAGCTTCATAATTACATCGGTATATAACTTCTGTGGTTTATCGTCGAAAAACTTGGGCGAGTGATTTTCAACGGCTCTTCGGTCGGCCAATTTTTTACCATCAACAGAGTTTTGTAAAGGCTGAAGAAAATGATAGTCACACGGTGCAAGGTTCTGGCTGCATCAAAACTTCCTTACCAAGTTCCGTCAGTTTGCTCCGAGTCATCAAATATGTGTGTGGTCACGCATTGTCATGATGGAACGCAACTACCTTTCTGTTGGCCAATTTTGGTCGCTTTTTCTGTATGGCATCGTTCAAACGGTCGAGTTGTGCACTGTGCAGGGCCGAATTGATGGTTTTTCCAGGTTGCAATTTATGTGGTACCCAAACATTGAGTTTCTTTTTTGTGACCTGCTCTTTTCAAATGATTCCAGACTGTTATATGGTTGATGCTTTAGTGCCTCTGCTATTTCCTGACAGCTTGCGTGCCGGTCTTGTTCCACCAGTTGCAAAATTTCATCGACTTTTTCAGTGACTGGCCGACCAGAACAAGGTGTATCTTTGATATCGAGCAAAACCGAATCGAGCAAACCACTCTTTGGTTCTTCGTTCACTCACAGCATTTTCACAAATTTTTCGACATGTTTTTGCAGCCTTTTTTACCTTTTTTATAGTAAAAAAAGCATCACATAACGTATTTCTTGAGATATTTCACTAATTTTCAAATTAATATAACCTTTTACAAGCAACGAATTAGAAAAACTATTTTCACAAACAATGGAAGCTGAATGTCACCTTTTAAACACACGTTCGTTTGAGACAATCGGGACAGTGTTGCCGGATATATAAGCATGAACACCATCTAGTGACAAAAAAATGCGAAGACTTTTTATGTGACCCTATATTAAGAAGCATTCCAATTTCTAAAGCGGATATGCTACAAATGGTAGATAAATAAGATTAATTATAAAGTTCTCGATATGAGGTTTCTAGATCGGATAGAACATCAGACGCTGATTACGCGTATAGAGCAGTCTGAAAGCAGGTATAAATGGTGTGAAACTGTGAAACGTTACTAGTATAGGCAAAGGAGCTGTTTTAAAAGCATATGATGAGTTTTGAGAAATGGACTGAAAGAATAAAGATGTAATGTGAAAAATATACGTTATTATCCTTTTGGTTGCTTACCGTTTCGCTTTTCCATTTGAGCACAGGTCATCTCAGTTACAATAATAAATAGTTATAAAATAATTGAGTCAATAGTACCTTTATTGTTTGCATCTTAAAATAGATTTTATGTTATGGATAATGAAATACAGCAAAAGATTCGTTTCGTTTGATTACTTTAGAAACAGCTTAAAATAAGAATTCTGGTCAAAGTGCTTACGTTTGGACATTTTAATAGCGGGCTGACAAGAGTGTAATTTCGGTTTTTTATTCTCAAATAAAACTCAACTTTTTTTTTGTACAAAAAGTGAGGCCGACCAGCGGCCGAGCGGTAAAATCGCCGAACACTGGTAGTTCGGTCCGAGGTTCGAATCCCGCGAATGGGCTGGCTGCATGGGCGTTTCCATGGTTTTCCCCATGTGTAACGTGTATACGAGCCAATTTCCCCTAAGTCCTCCACGGAGGAATCCCTCCCCTTAGGCAGATAGTTCTAGTGTGCTTTGCCGTATTCTCAATACACACTGTACAAAAAGTGAACTTTAATCAGTTAAATACCTTCCATTCTGTTCGAAGACCTGTTGCCATCTTGCTAGTATTTTCAAGTTTCCGCACTCATAGAACTTTGCCAGCAATAAACGCAACCAAATGCGATTTGAGTTCATCGTTGTTACTGAAATTTTTACCATTTAAGAAGTTTTGTAAACTTTGAAATAAATGAAATTCCGATGATACAATGTCATGGCTATATGAGATATACGCCATGACATTCCAAGAATGAGAAAAATTACATATTAAGAAGCATTCCAATTTCCGTTAATTTCATACGTATTGCTAAATATGTGTGTGGCTTCACATTGTCACGGTATAACACGATTTATTTGCTATTTGCCAATTGTAGCCTTTTCTCTTTGATTATTTCTTCTAATTTAATAATTAGCAGCGCGATATGATTTGTGCTAATTCATCGTGCTTCGATATGATTTGTGGTGATTCATCGTGCATGATCTTTTTCGATTAATGTTGTAGACGATCTACTTTTTCCCTCACTAGTGATAATTTATTTTTTTAAAAAAAAGTCGGTTGCATTACATTTGAAATGCGTACGTTGAAATATTGATTTGTTGTGTTCAGTGAATTTGTTTCAATTTATGTGGAACCCAAATATCGAGCTACTTAAAAGAGACCAAGACATCCTATTTCAATTTTTGCATGTGATAAATTTAACCATTTTGCAAACTCTCGCTCAGCTATATGATGATTAACTTCAATTAAAGCTTTAAATTTGTCATCATGAATTTCAGAAGGTCCAGAAGATCGGCCAGAACGTTCATCATCTTCAATTGAAAAATCCTAGAATGAAATTTTTAAACCAAATCTAACACATGCATTCTGTTAAGCAATCAATACCGTATATCTCTTTGTGAGTCTCAGCCTCTTTTTTGCCTTTATGAAAATAAAAAAAGAATGTAAAATAGGTCGAAAAAAAATTTATTTTTCTCTTTCCCCCCAAATTAAAATTGACCGTAAACTCACAGTTGTGAACAAAAATACACTGAATTTGTTTTTATAGCAATCTAAAAGTATCAGATGCGAATCTCAGGAAATAAAAGCGCTATCTAGTGAATAATAATTACGTGGAACATAAAACTAACAAATAGTGATACCTCTCTACTCTGATAAAACCGAGCTTTGCCAACCATAAAAGCAAATTCTAACACCTGTAAGGACACAAAATATTTAGGATGTTATCAAATGTTAAACATTATCTGTTAATTTTAGACATGCATATGGTATTGTGTATTATAGAACATAATATGGGAGAACTATAGCTATGTCCTTTTTTGATTTCGAAACATAATATATTGTTACTTGCGTACGGGTTCGTAATACATTGAATTCACATGTCCGATAAAAAGATAATATTCTTATCACAAGCTAATATTCTTGTGATAATATTCTTATCACAAGAAATATAACAAAACGTTGAATTTTCTTTAGAAATATTCTTACAAGTGTTCACAATATTAGGCAGTAATAGTCAGTAGTTACACTTTAAACTACTACAATGTTAAATAGAATGCAATCCACAGCGCAGAGAAAGCTAATACGAGCAACAATAACAACAGCAGCTGATTGAAAAACAACTAAACTGAGATGTCTCTCTCCGGCTTATTAAAGCTTTCAATCGGTCGCGAAGAATTCTAGTAATTTCTTTGCTTCTCGAGATTTCTGGAAACCAAAAAAGTAGAATTACGGTTACAGCTAACACAGTAGTCAATTACATTTATTCGGTTTCAATACAAATAAGAGAGATATCCATTCCTGTGGCTTCTTGCGCTGATAGTGAACAATAAGGACTCGATAATGTTAATATATTATTGATTTTTATTACAAATATATAGCATAAAATGTTTATATTAACGCCACCTAAATGTTTTTCGATCTGTTTTGAATAAATATAAGAATGTTGTTATTCGCTTATTGAATCAGACTGACGTACTTAGTTTAGATTTATTAAATTGATGTAAGCAGTGTCTGTAGTTTAGCTTTAGGATAAAAATGTTTTTCTAACATGTTCAATTATATTTTATGCTTCAAGATTCTTTTGACCACTGCAAGACTTTGGAACATATGGGAAACCTAACAGAGAAGTCGTTTGGCTCTCTATTTCACCAGTAAGACGATTTCGGTTTCATTTTCTTTATAAATATATAAATGAGCAATAGATTTAATTGAAGAATTATGCTATTAAATTCCTTTGCATATTTGTCTTATTTTAAGAATGAAGTTAATTTTATGCTTGAGTATTTTTTGGTACAACTTTCTTACATGTAGCTAAATAAAATGTACATAAACAATAACTGAAATGGAAATGTTTATAAATAGAAATTTCTAAATTTAATATTCCCTTAGTTAAATTCTACATTTAAGAAAAACACAAATTTTGAAATGTGATTAGTCATTTCGAGAGGGGACACGTTAGCCAAGCCAAAACTTATTAAAATTATCCTTCTTTGCATGTGTATGTAATTAAAATATTTTTGATCCCAAATGGGCAATTTGCCCAGAAGGGCTGTTAATTTCGTTTTGGCACTTTGCGTTGGTTCACTATAAACGGTGTTTCATTTTTCAAATTGTTAACATCAAATATTAGAACATTATATTTAAAGAAATTAAATAATGAATAATTTGCATGAATGTATGTATGTTATCTAGAAACATCAAATTTTAAATAACGTGGTCCTCCACTCAAAAATGGGCATCAGGAAGCCAAATTTAGAATTTGTTTTATTATCTATTTCATTTTTTGTAAACATTTAAGCAATTTTTGATTGACAAACTCTACGATTTCCCCATTGCTCGTTTTAAAGCGAGAAATGGCAACACCACGGGAGGGGGAGTTTTTAATCTCCAGTGAGCAAGACTGTGTGTCTGAAATTCTAAAGATTTGCTCTTTGTAAATTATTTTGCGATATTGCTGTTGAAATGAATTTTATTTTTTAAGTGCGAAGATCAATAAAGGTAGCACATAAAACGTTAAAAATTCCCCTTTGGGTGTAATATAAAATTTGGAAAACTTTCAGGATATTTGTTTGGGGGGCGTACACCATATCCACAACCATCTTTCTCTGGGATTAAGACACAATAACACGCCGAATAAATACTGATTCAGAAGTCAAACAACAAAAATCAGCGTTAATTCACAAAATTTTCACAGGACTAGTTTCGATGGTTTTACCGAACCATCATCTTCAGCTGCAAAACCGCAAATGAACAAGATAGGAAATAATGTTTAGATAAGATAAGAAAGCCTGGACAAGAATAAGCAAGTGGCGCCATCTGTTGGCGAAACCAGAACTAAAACATAATTTCTCTAAAAGCCGAAGGCAAATTTGGATTGGAATTAGGATCGTTAACTAGAACAGAAAGATTTTTATGAATGTGAAATGCCTCTAGAAAATCCAGTTCTCCAATGGAAGATGTTTTTTGAATAATTTTGGCAGCAGAAAAATTGAAAGTGTGATTTTCGGACCAACAATGTTGAGCAACAGAAGACTTCTGTGTTTCCTTTTTTCTAACATATGCCTCATGTTCTTTGACGCGAAATTTTAAGGCTCTCTTAGTTTGGCCAATGTAAATTAAACCGCACTGGCAAGGAATCCTATAAATACCCCAGGAATTCATATCCGGAATGGGGTCCTTGAGTATAGAAGTTGGAATTTTATTGATGGGAGAGTAAACAACCCGAAAGTTAAATTTCTGCAAAATATGTGCAACTTTATAGCTAATTGATGGAAAGAAGGGAATGACAACAGAATTTTTATAATCTCCTAAAATAAGAGTGTGGCTTTTAGTGTGTTGAGATGAGAATTTTTTAACTGCTTGATTAATAATGTTGGGTGAAAAGCCCCTGTCAATAGCTATTGCTTTTAAATAATTTAGTTCTTCATCAAGGGCTAGTTTGGAGGAGCAAACTTGAAGAGCACGGAAAACATAGGAATAAAATGAAGCTAACTTTTGTTTAGTCGGATGACATGATTTAAAGTGTGGTGGAAGGCAAACCGATGAAGGTTTACGGTAAACTGTAGTACTGAAGTTGGATGTGTTACGTGTGACCAGAATGTCGAGAAACGGAAGAGAATTGCAAGTCTCAAGTTCAAAAGTGAACTGAATAGCAGGATCAATAGAATTCATTGTTGAAAGAACTCTATTTAAATCATCTTTATTACCTTCAAACAGGGTAAAAGTATCGTCTACGTAGCGGAACCATGCCGGGAAGTTTAAAGTTTCAAACAATTTTGATTCATAATAATGCATGTAGATATCAGCCAGGATGGGACTGAGGGGGCTTCCCATGGCTAATCCCTCAGTTTGCTTGTAATATTTATTTTGGAAAACAAAATGTGTTTGTTTCAAACAGAGTTGAGTGAGAGAAATTAGCTCATCAATTTCGATGCAAGAGAAATGAAATTCGCGAAGTCTGGTTTCTAGACATCTTAATGCACCCTCCACTGGGACATTGGTGAATAATGATTTTACATCAAAAGAAACCATGAGTAAATTACTAGGAGAAATTTTTTTAACCTTTTTTACAAACTCTATTGAATTTTTTATGGTGTAAATGTTATTGTCTAATAGAGTGGAAAATCTAGAAACTAACTCTATTAGACACTCTATTTCCACTCTATTAGACAATAACATTTACACCATAAAAAATTCAATAGAGTTTGTAAAAAAGGTTAAAAAAATTTCTCCTAGTAATTTACTCATGGTTTCTTTTGATGTAAAATCATTATTCACCAATGTCCCAGTGGAGGGTGCATTAAGATGTCTAGAAACCAGACTTCGCGAATTTCATTTCTCTTGCATCGAAATTGATGAGCTAATTTCTCTCACTCAACTCTGTTTGAAGCAAACACATTTTGTTTTCCAAAATAAATATTACAAGCAAACTGAGGGATTAGCCATGGGAAGCCCCCTCAGTCCCATCCTGGCTGATATCTATATGCATTATTATGAATCAAAATTGTTTGAAACTTTAAACTTCCCGGCATGGTTCCGCTACGTAGACGATACTTTTACCCTGTTTGAAGGTAATAAAGATGATTTAAATAGAGTTCTTTCAACAATGAATTCTATTGATCCTGCTATTCAGTTCACTTTTGAACTTGAGACTTGCAATTCTCTTCCGTTTCTCGACATTCTGGTCACACGTAACACATCCAACTTCAGTACTACAGTTTACCGTAAACCTTCATCGGTTTGCCTTCCACCACACTTTAAATCATGTCATCCGACTAAACAAAAGTTAGCTTCATTTTATTCCTATGTTTTCCGTGCTCTTCAAGTTTGCTCCTCCAAACTAGCCCTTGATGAAGAACTAAATTATTTAAAAGCAATAGCTATTGACAGGGGCTTTTCACCCAACATTATTAATCAAGCAGTTAAAAAATTCTCATCTCAACACACTAAAAGCCACACTCTTATTTTAGGAGATTATAAAAATTCTGTTGTCATTCCCTTCTTTCCATCAATTAGCTATAAAGTTGCACATATTTTGCAGAAGAAATTTAACTTTCGGGTTGTTTACTCTCCCATCAATAAAATTCCAACTTCTATACTCAAGGACCCCATTCCGGATATGAATTCCTGGGGTATTTATAGGATTCCTTGCCAGTGCGGTTTTAATTTACATTGGCCAAACTAAGAGAGCCTTAAAATTTCGCGTCAAAGAACATGAGGCATATGTTAGAAAAAAGGAAACACAGAAGTCTTCTGTTGCTCAACATTGTTGGTCCGAAAATCACACTTTCAATTTTTCTGCTGCCAAAATTATTCAAAAAACATCTTCCATTGGAGAACTGGATTTTCTAGAGGCATTTCACATTCATAAAAAATCTTTCTGTTCTAGTTAACGATCCTAATTCCAATCCAAATTTGCCTTCGGCTTTTAGAGAAATTATGTTTTAGTTCTGGTTTCGCCAACAGATGGCGCCACTTGCTTATTCTTGTCCAGGCTTTCTTATCTTATCTAAACATTATTTCCTATCTTGTTCATTTGCGGTTTTGCAGCTGAAGATGATGGTTCGGTAAAACCATCGAAACTAGTCCTGTGAAAATTTTGTTAATTAACGCTGATTTTTGTTGTTTGACTTCTGAATCAATCTTTTTCTGGGCTTTACTGTATATCTACGACCAACGGCTGGAGCCGTTGGTCGTAGATATATGCGTCGAATTATAAGAATGTTTCAAATATTGTTTGACATTTTATATTCCCCGATTTTAGTCCTCATTTTTATATTCGGGAAAATTTTAATCCTTTGGCTATATTCCTTTCAAGCAAATACGACGTTGTAATTTTTTTGCAGCAAGATTGCCCCAGATTTTAACGATGCTAAGAACAGAACCTCATTCAAATACAAGTTTTTAATGCTTTTTACTTTCATATTTTTTCGAAACTCATGAAACATAATATGGTTCAAATATAACTTTTCATTCTACTTTTTAATAACGATTCCTCACGCACTAATTGACTCAAGATATCCACATCTAAAATGACTCATCGTGCTCTTACCTGTATGCCGGTACACTAGATGCCAGAACAGCAATGATAAATATCATTGCTTATTCTGAGGTTATATTTCAACCACCTCTGGAAATCAGACACGGAATTTTGGAATCATTCAATATATTTCACTACGGGATAATGAACTGAGCTGAACAGTTTGATGCTGAGCTAAAGAATAACTTTGGTTTCGTACATAAAACTCGCATAAGGAAAGAAACTAGAAGGTACTGCTTTCGAAAGCGTATACTCCTATAGTTTCTTTTGACTGTGAAGGAATTTCCATTGGCCTAATGTAGTCGCTTTATTGACGAAAAGTAATAAATATAAAGTAAAATCTTTTTTTGATAAACATTCATTGTCCGCATACGGTTATCTTCCGTATGCGGAAGGTATATAAATTCCATACGGGTAAAAAATTCCATGCATTAAAATACATGCATAAAAATTACATATGGTTATCTTCATGTAATCACTTGACAAGAATTCTTGATCTTTCAGCGAACTTATCATTCTTTTAGTTCAGCCAAATCACAAATTGAGAGATCTGCAGTGTACGTGAAGGATCTCGCATTTAAGGTTGTCCAGACTCTTCCCGGCCTTGCTAATAATCGAAAATGCAGTGTCGGGCAGTTAGATAATCCCTTTGTAAAGACTGGTCTTCTCTGCATGCATCTCGGGGTAGCAGTTCAGCAATATGTGTACTACATATCTCACACCTGTTTCTGAAAAAAAAAAAAAAAAAAAAAAAAAAAAAAAAAAGGATTAACTTACAAATTGCAGGTTTCAATTTACAAACTTTATAACTTTATATGGAAGAAATATCAAAGGAAGGCATTTTTGAATTTCTCAATTTACAATTTTCTCTTACAGGTAGGATGGGCTTCTTGGAATATGTATACGAATATGCTGTTCATAGGTTGTACTCTTGTCCTATTCGAAGGACATCCTTATTTCCTCAGCCCAACTTTTCTATGGGATATGGTTGATGAACTGGAAATTTCTCATCTTTTGCTCACACCCAGTATACTCGACGACTTGGAAAAGAAAGGTTACATACCAAGTAAGATTTTTAATTTTTATTAATGTAATATTTTGAGAAAGTAATTTGTGATGTTTTTAAATTTTTATCTGAAATTTGCGGATTATTACGGAACTGATGGTCATTATAGAACTGATGATTAAGTATTTATTACAAGTACAGCAAAAGCTAAGTTTATATGAAAAGAAAGTTTTCTTCTTTCGAGCGATAAAAATGGGACGTCTCTACCTTTCCTGGAAGCAAACAATACACCTCTGAAGTACCGATGCGTCTCGATTTACTCTTTATAGTTTCCCTTTCTATTTTTTCAAAACAAAGCAGACCCTTGGAAATAATTTCTCATTTAAACTACATTTTCATAGTGTTCAGTGTAGAGGAGCAGTGTATATATAATTATAAAACTAATTAATTCAATTTCGTTCTATTTAAATTTGATCTGGAGCTACAGAGAGTTTAGATGAATATTAGCTTCTTCTACCTGACTTATTTATTTATTCTGGTTTATATAATTTTTTGCACGTATATTTCTCTGTGTAACTGTTTGTTTTCCTTTCGTTTCAATAGCAGAGAAACATAGTTTAAATTCTCTTCAAGTCATTATGAGTGGTGGAACAGTCGTCAGACCTCAAAACTTTGATTTCTGTAGAAAATTAAAAAAGGGTATACGTATTTTTGCCATTTATGGTAAGTACATTTTTTCTTCTTCTTTCAACTGAAATTTTACTTCTCTTTTTTTAAACTAAAATATGGCTTCAAACGGCAAAATTATTTTGTATTCATTTAACGTTTTAATTAATTTTCTTCACGGAATTACTCATTTGAAGGATAGCAGTGGATTTGAAAGATTAATTATAGCTTCTAAGTTATTAGTTTTATTTCGAATACAAGAATAAAATATTGTGGCAGATAATTTTATCGCTGCTTTTTAATAATTAAAATTGCAGTACCTTTTTTTTTTTTGTATTCGCTTTTGAACCATTAACAAAGGCACTGTTCAACAGTCAACACTTATTACCGTGTCTTGAACACTTTCGAATAGTAAACACATACTACCATGTCTTCAGCACTGTCCAAAAAAAACGCTTCAAACAGTAAACGCGTACTACTAAAGAAAGACTCTTGCTGCTACCTTCTCCTCATGAAATATAACTTGATTACGTTAGATTACTTGAATATGCAAAAGTAAACGGGGCTAAAGGGGAAGCTAGTTCGTAACTAGATTTTAGTGACGTCATACATAGGGGATACGTCTCAAAAAACATCCTTGCAGCCAGTTCATAATCCTGGGCTCAAACCTGGATTGAATTACTTACATTCAGCGGTCTTAAGCACTTGGCAGCTGATGAGGGAAATCTAAATGAAAGATTCTGAATTGAGAGCAATAATTATAATTAAAGGAAATGAGCACGTGAAAAATTCAGCTTGCAAGAAAGAGTATCCTTTAGTCCGATGATGAAAAGATACTGGATTTTATGGGTTTCATATCACCTGCGAGATGCAGTTCCCTACATAAAACGGGAACTTGATGATGGAAAGTGTTTCATGTGACAACTCATCTTACTGAGATCTCATTTCCCTAAAGCTTCGTTCAGACGGGGGCGTAAAGGGCATAAGTGGTTAAAGCCGAGCTCCGTTGCCAAGGTAACCAGTCTGTGCAACGTCACAAAATCTGGTTTAGGGCTCGTGGCATAGGGTTCAATGTTTTCAACTTTACGCCGAGTTTGGGATAAGCGTCGACCAATCAGAGCGAAGCTGAAACGAAGCGGCGTTCTACAGGAGATTTCGCTGTCACAAAACAAGCAGAGCGAACGCAGGAAATCAATCGAGCAGGAGAACAGCATGGGAAAGTTGTAGACACATCCACTCATGCGCAAATTTAGCTTCTCTCATTGGCCACGGCTACACCCCGTTCTCGCAAGTGTGAATGGAATTCCCGTACTTTATGTCCGTATGACTGCGCCTCTATGCCTCTACGCCGCCGTCTGAACACAGCCATACGCTCCATCAGAGCTTCGCAGCACAGGAAATCCATTTGGTGTACCAAAGAGACCCCAAAAGTTCGTAAACTCTTTTTCTGGTACAAAGACAAAGGAGAAAAAAGTCCTGGGTAGGAAAGTGGCGGAAACCCTCTTGATGCATAATGGAGCTCTAAGACGCCCGCAACCACGTACCTAAGGAAGATTACAATGCTACAATGTATAATCACCATCGAAAGGATCATTATGCATATTCTCGGATCTTTACTTCGTCAAAATAGGGGACACAAGTACATCTTAGTTGCCATAGGCAACTTTTTGTAAATACCGTGATAAGCTACCCTTCATGGACCCACCTTATCAAATGTGGTACTTGAAGAAGTGATACTGGAAGCGCGCAGTATCATATTTGATACGCTGAAACGGAACATTTTATTTGACATTTTTAATGAAATAAATGATGTGAGAATGCAGTGAAAGTTAATTGAAAAGAATATCTTTATTGTGAACCTTATCGTTTTGAGTATTATTTACTATTGTAATTATTCGGATGTAAGACTCTACCTATGCTTATAACGCGCTTTCAGAGTTTAGAAGTGAAATAAATGATGTGAGAATGCAGTGAAAGTTAATTGAAAAGAATATCTTTATTGTGAACCTTATCGTTTTGAGTATTATTTACTATTGCAATTATTCGGATGTAAGACTCTGCCTATGCTTATAACGCGCTTTCAGAGTTTAGAAGTGAAATAAATGATGTGAGAATGCAGTGAAAGTTAATTGAAAAGAATATCTTTATTGTGAACCTTATCGTTTTGAGTATTATTTACTATTGTAATTATTCGGATGTAAGACTCTACCTATGCTTATAACGCGCTTTCAGAGTTTAGAAGTGCTTCACGCAGTGTAAGCAGCTTTAAATTTTGCCTATAAATATAAAAATAGAATATAATAAGGAAAAAAAAAAAAAAAAAAAAGCTTTCAGATTTTACATTATGCCCAAATGGGCGTTTTATTAATATTTTGTGTGTCACCTTTATTTACTAAATATCATGTTCTTCGCAGTTGAAACATAAAATTCAATTCAACAGCAATATCGCAAAATAATTTTAAAATGATCCTATCTTTAGAATTTCCGATACACAGTCTCGCTCGCACGCTGGAAATAATTTTTTTTTTTTGGTACAGTGTTGCCATTCCTCGCTTTGAAATCGTCGAGTTTGTTAAACAAAAATTCTTTAATGTCTGACAATATATATGAAATGGGTAAATGAAACTAATTCCAAATTAGGGTTCCAGATGCCTATGCTCGGTGGAGGATTACGTTATTCAAATTTCGATGGCTAGAGGTACCGTTGTTTTATCCCAATGCGAGAAACATACATGTATGCAGATTCTTTAATTTCTTTAAATATAATACAGGGATGTAATATTTGGTGGTGACAGTTTGAAAAGTGAATCGACGCGAAATGCGAAAACGAAATTAATAGCCCTTTGAGCTGATGATAATTTATTTCTTTTTTCACTTAATTCAAGTAGGAAAGTAATTTAAATATGTAAATGTATTAGTTATTACCAATTTTTCTCTTTTTCTTACTTTTAAATTTTATTTTAATTGTAAATATTAGGATTTCTTTTTATATTATAAATGTTACATTTGCTTATTATATGTATGAATCCACATATTTCGATAAAAAGCAGATTTTACAGAATTTTTTTTTTCTGCTTTAGGTTTAATTGTAAAACGAACTTAAGCGCACAACCGACTGATCGAAGTTCTATTCGAACTTTGTTCAACATTATCAAAGCATTATTGTTGCGATGCTGAATGTAGTAGAAACTATATTGCATGGTTGAAAGGAAAGTGGTAGTTTTTTTGATTGTCTGTAACAAAAATTCTTTCGTTTAAGCGCTATAACTTCCATACCCAACAGTACAACGTATACTAGTATTTCACCACAGTTTTAGTACAATCCTATGATAAAACTGAAGTGAACTCCAACGAAATTGCAGTCACCGAGAAATGTTTGCTTATTTGTTGTAATTATTACGTTGAAATGCTCCATTTATTTATTATTTACCTTCTCAAAGTTATTTTCTTCAGTTGGCAGTTACGTATTATAGCAACCGCTTTAGGAGAAATCGCCAAACTCTGGCAACCAAGCTCGCCATAGATTATAAAGTATTTCTCCCACTTTCCTAGCATGGTTTTGTGGTATGGTGGTCTGCACGCTGGGCGCGTATTCCATATGTCCGTGGGAAGATGTCCTGGAGAAAGCGTTGCTCATTTCTCAATCTCTCTTGCTTACAAAAAATCCCATGTCTCTACAGTGGCGCTCGACAGTGGCCAAACATCGGAACTGGTTCCCAGGAAACGGAGGAAAATAAGCATACACCATCTGCTAAAAATACCAACGTGAACTGTACGCATGCTGCGAATGAACTACAGAGTGATGAACAAACTGTCTCAGATCTTCCTGTGGATGACAAGTCTGAAAGGACTGAAGCTTCAGACTGCGATATGCAAAACAGAAATACATCTGAGAACTGCAGTGCAAAAGTATTTGCCCCGGCTATATTTTTAATGAAAAGACTTAGACTGAATTTCCTTATGAACCTTAATTTGTATAATTTTAAATTGTTATGTGTTTAATTTGTGTATCTAACTTGTATATAGTGTAAATATTTGCTTTTTTAGTTATGTTATCTGTATGTTTTAAAGCGTTTTGATTGTATCGAATTTGGCTTCTGACCACGGGTTGTACTGCCCGGGACGTGCAGTCCTTGTGAGGGGGGCAGTGTTACGAAATATCAAAGTGCGGAAAGAAGGCTTCCCCGCAAAGCAAGTTTAGGGTTGCCATAAATGGCAATGGAAGGCAGGGTTTCACATTTGATGAGAAATCGCCCATTTAGCGACAGAATTGGCGATATGCCATAGACAGATGGAGAAAATTCTGGAATGAATTCTTACTGGTTTAGCCCAGAATGTTCTCGAACACAAGCCAAAAGCTACATAAACCCTGCTAGTAGGTGGAGAGTTTATTTAGTCCGTTCGGAGTTCATCGAGTTGATAGTCAGTCAATGAGTGCCGAGTTGGTCGTCGAGTGCACCGAAAGAGTCTCTTAGTGTATCGCGGTTAGTGCATCGTCGAGAGAGTGTGTGCAGCTCCGGGAACGGCTGAACCGAGGAGTCGGGAGTCTAGTACATCGTCGAGTGCATCGCGAGTTGTAGCTTGGAGTTTCGAGAATGACCAAGCAGAGTAAGGAGCTGTAATCTGGCGCTTTGCAGTGAAGCTGTCTTCACTGTGATATCCTGAAGGCTGTGCCGCTGATTGTTCCAGCCAGCGTGTGTATAGTAGATCTTCGACGATTGTAAAACGTGATTTTGGAGCTGCCTTGAAAATACTGGCCAATAAAGTGTGTTTCGATACTTCATCAAGTGTCGTCGTTATTCACTCCAAATCTACGAACCCCGTACGAACTGGAAGCTCGCTTCAGGAGCTTCACGAAATTATAGCTCAGATCTTGGCAGAAATCTAAAATCTCCAAATATGGTTGGGGGCAGCTATAAAAAAGAAGTACCGAAAAGGTTTTGTTTGAAAGAAATTACAAAAAAATCCTTCTTATTTTTACATTTGAGAGAAAATAAAATTTATAATTACAGTTATTGACTTAAATATTCTAGATTAAATTAGACTTAAAATATTCTAGATTTTTAAAATATTCTAGGAATCTTTCAGAAGTAGCTTTCAGTTTCTTTTGCACTTGTCTACGTTTTTACCTATTATTTTTTAATTTAGTGTTTCATGGTAAATGCAATATTGTAGCAGATTTAGAAATTAAGTCTGAAGGTGCAGCTATTTCGAAGAAATTATTATAGACTCACCGATTTCTTATCTTTTAGGTTGTACAGAGGTGATGGGGCCCAGCATGTGGCATGACCCTTCTTTACCTATTTACAAATGCGAAGTTCCAACTGCATCTTTAGGTACTGATATTCAGTGTTTGGACGAGAAAGGTATTTTATTTATCCAAAAAATATTTTTATATAAAACATACAATTTTGAATAAAAAAGTAATAGGGAGCAGGTGTACAAGATACATAGCGTCGAAGAAATTTGAGAAAGCTACCGTAGAAATTTTAGCGAGAAAACCCCGTTTTCACAGATTTGCTAAGTTTAGCAGAAATAAGAAAGCTAACCAAACAAAGATATAAAACATTATTCAACTCTCTTACCACAAACTGGTTAAATGGGCTGTCATACGAAATAATGTCTGCCAAAATCGCATAGAAGATCATCATTTCTCCAAACACCGCCATCTTAAGAGAGTCATCAATTAGGTACTTTTTTTAAAAAGATCGCCAAGCTATCGATATTTATCATAACTCAGCAAACATTATCAACATATAAAAAGAAAGCAATTAAAAATACAATTTAAAATACAAAAGTAATGATTAAAAATACAATTTACACTAACACAACAATGCAGATTAAAAATACCAAAATGAGAAGCACTCAAGAAAAGAACAGTTCAAACCAAAAGACCAAACATGTTGCTACCCTCGATATTCTAAAGCAGTTAGCAGTTTGTAGTAGAGTTAAGATACTCTACCACAAAACAACACTCAGCTGTGTCTCTCACAGACCCAGAGAAAGCTTACTTACTAAAAAAAACTTTGAAGGTTTTACTAAATCATAATATCAAACATCAGTATATATCATGCACAATATGTTTCTCTGTGCACACGGCGACCTTAATTTCGCTTAAATATATCAGAGAATTATAAATTTCGGCATTGGGAACAACAGCATTATATATACTATGTAATACACTTTACTCCTTTTACTCAAAAATTTACTTTAACATAGAAAAACATTACAGAATTGAGCAAATTCCGCATCGCTTCCAAAACGAAACATTTCGACGATGTTAGAGTAGAGATTGCATTAAACAAAACAATTAATTACGGGTACTATTCCGTTTTGAGGCCGTAAAAAAATTGCAGCGAAAATGTATGCGCAAAAGCGCCAAATCTAGCGTACGCGCTGATTTCAGATTGCGTAAGTTTATATAGTTCTGTATTTCTTAAGACGCCATTGAAGTACTAGTTTAATTTTTAAATCCTTTTTTGATAATCCTATGGATTTAACAATTTGGGAATTGGCATGACGAAAAGTTGGCAATAGAATTTTGGGTAAAGTGCAGAATCACCCACTGCTTGACGCGTTTTTAAGAATTGCACATACTCGATATCCATGTGCACATCGAGCTATTTTCACTTCAAAATAATCCCAGAATTGCACAAAAATGGCACTGCTCACACCCTTGACTTTGGGTAAAGTACACATCGACCTATTTTCACTTAAAAAGTAAAAGAAAATTGGCAAAAATCCAATTGTTTTTACCCTTGTAAAAAACGGCAAACAAATAAGTGAGCGATTCTGCACTTTACCGAGAATATTTTCAAAGAAAAGGCATCATTCATTATAGAAAATTACGTTTGAACAACCAACGAGATGAAATTATGCTTTAACGATAAGTCGGTAGCGAAATAGCGATGCAGGCATCCATTCAGTTATGTTTAGAAATTTTTATATAAATTATAATAATGATCTGAAATAGTTATTTACTCTTATGCTTCCATTCAGTCATGTTTAGCCTTTTTTATATAAATTATAATAATAAAAAAGTATTATATGAAATTAACCTTTCATCTAAATTAAAACATCAATCTTAAATAGTTATTTACTATTATACTTCCTTTCTTGCCACAAATATTAGGGTTGTCCAATTATTTTTGGCAGCATTGGCATCAACAATAATTGATTTTTACGACCCTCGGAACGGAAAAGTACCGAAAAAAACTTAATACCAGAAATAAGGTGAAGTTTTTAAACTTAATATCCGAATTATTTTTAGAAATTAATTTAGAGCTAAATTTTTAGTTTTCTCCAATCAAAAAATAAAGTCCATAATGATAACCAAGCCAGTATGATCTTTTTGGGTTGATGCATTAAATCACTTGAGTATCTGTGAAATTAAAAAATCATTACAGCAATTAAATGCACAAAACTTAATGCTTGGAATTGCATTTTATATCATAAAGCAAAATATTAAATGCTACTATGAATAACCCTGTAATCCTTGGAATTAACATTTAGGAAGCAAAATTCTAAATCCCAGTATTATTATGAACCAACCAGCATGCATACGTGGTACCAGAGTGTGACGGTTATTAAGATCTTAGACGGTTATCTGCTTCAATAACACTGGTACAGCTGAAACCATCAGTTTACTGATTATGCAGCGTACATTCTGTGCAATTTAGAAGTCGTGGGTGAATGCAAGAAGTCGCTGCTGAGACCACTGTTTTGGGTAATGGGCCTCTTCTGAAACAGAGAACCTATGTTCTTAAAATTCCATTCAACATTTATTTAACCATAAATGACTGGCAATGTGTTATTTCATTGGAAGAATCCCGTTCTTTTGAACATATATGAGCAAATTCCTGTATGAAACAATTGCACAAGGTTGCATATCTATACTGTTTTGGTGGTAAAATGAAACTTATTGCACAAGTGTTGCTCCTGCCATGATATGTGGTCTGTTTGCTGAACTTCTTAAGGATAACTATAAAAGCTGGAGGTTTCATTGACAGAACTGACGCCTAACATTTCAATGTAAAATAATTTTCATTCTGTTATGAATGCTATGGTTCTTTGGGGTACTAATTGTACTATCAGACTATTTCAAATTTTAGTACACTAGGGACTGGTCAATGAAATATTTACCGACTTGGGGGTAGCACGAATATTGGCCTGTGATTTCCGGATCAGTGGATAAAGAATTAATTGATAACGAATGGAATTATGCAGATTTCAGTAAATGCTTTACATCAGCGATTCTCAACCGATGGTACATGTACCACTGCTGGTAACCAAGAGCAAAATAGGTGGTACGTGTACCGCTGCTGGTAACCAAGGGCAAAATAGGTGGTACGCAAAGAAGCAAAGTATTTTTAACTGTTGAATTAAAAAATTTCGTTAAAAAAAAAGAACACTTGATAGAAATTTTCTGTTATCGAACTCTAACTGAGGATTTAAGAAATAACACTTGATAACTTTTGGCTGCCCCTTCCAAAAGAAAAAGAATTTAAAGGCATTTCAAATAAAGCTATTAAATTTTTATTACCTTTTTGAAGAACCTATTTATGTGAATAAGGATTTTCTTCTATGTTATATTTGAAAAATAAATACAGAAGAAAATTAAAAGTGGATCTTAATTTACGGTTAAAACGAAGTGAAATAAGACCAGACTTAAAGAAATTGATCTCCCTTAAACAGGCCTAAATTTCACACTAAATTTTAGAATTAAAGTATTATAATTTAAATTTTGATAATTAGAATGGTAACCAATTTTTAATCTAATATTTTTATGTGTGCATATTTAATACGAATAGCCGATAGGTTGTGCAAATGGCAAAATATTTTTTAAAATATATTTATTGAAAAACTGAAATTAATCACTGTAAAATGTAATGGTGGTACTAAGGTTTTTCAATATTTGTTTAGATGGTACTCGTTAAACAAAAGATTGAGAACCGCTGCTTTAAATCAACAATTAATAAGTTTTAAAAGAAAGTAGTTGGTTTGATAGATCTTTGAAATAACGCTAAAACCTCTTCGGCATAATGCATGCCGATTATCTACAGTTAACTCACAAGGATTGAAAGTCTTCTATTCTTAATTTAGCTTGTCTAATATTTTAGATTTGAGCCTAAGCTTGAGTTTAAAATATAATAATTTTGGAATTTTTAAGTTGTACGTAGTATTTGCATAGCTTTTATCAGTTTTTCTTTCTGTTGTGTTTGTTATTTTGAGGAACTTCTTTTACTCTCTCACGATCATAATGAAAAATTCTTGAAAACTGATTTAATCACTTCTCATATCATCATATTTTTAATGTACATAAAACTGATGTTGTATCCTCGTAATTTTACGAAAGTTGGAAGAAAATGTAAACTAAATAAACATTAATTTTGGTACCATGAAATACAATTAATGAAGAAGTTCAGTGCAGTTAAGTTATTGTATTTATGCAACAAAGACTTGTTAAATTGCTTATAGAAGTCGTAGGAAATGGAACAATTTGTTGATTGTGTTTATTTCTTTCGGAAACCGATGGACTGAAGGATTATGTACATTTGTTTCTTACTAGCTGATCACAGTTATGTTAATTTTCAGAAGAACAGGGGGACATATAATGCACGCAAATTTACAAGGGAATGGCCTCTTCAAAGTTCTTGAAACAGCACTAACAGGGCTAAAAAATATTAAACCTATTTGTTATATCCGATTTAATGATTTTCTTTTATCACTGCATTGATCTTCATTCATATTTTGAAAGAATTTACCTGCATTAGAAGGTGCATTATGTTTTGATGATTTTTAATGTTACTTAGTTTTTGCTTAATAAATAAATAGATTATAATTTTATCCAAATGTCTTTTCGCAGGTAAATCTGTAATAGGTGAGCCTGGAGAAATTGTGATAATGAAACCTGTACCTTCCTTGGCTTTGGGCTTATGGGGTGACGAAGATCGTTCTGTGTTTAAGGAAAAGTATTTTTCAAAGTTTCCAGGTAATTTTTCTTTCAATACGAATGCTAATACCAGAAATATATTTACTGCCTCTAAATAAATTACGATAGTTTTCCTATCTGTTACTTTCTTTTTGAACACTCTGATGGGAATAGTGCATATAGCTAGTATCATTTTAATGTGCTTTTAGTTAGTATCCTTCTGTTTTTAAAACAAGCATATTACACAACTGAATAATAGATGATCGATGTTTTGTACGCCGTAGTCGGCTATCGAGTTATTTCTAGTCAGACCACATATTTATATGATGCGTTATTAACTCTTAAAAAGCTAATTTAAAAAAGTCGAAGTTAAAGTAAATAATTTCCAGCAAAATAAATTTAATTACATTAAAAAACATCACTTATTATATTAGAAAAATCACTTATTACATTAGAAAACATCACTTATTATATTAGAAAACACCACTTATTTTATTAGAAAACATCACTTATTTTATTAGAAAACATCACTTAAAATTTAGGTATATATTTTTTTATTTGGTGCACGTACTCTGTATTTTAAGTAAAATGCAAAATATTTTGGATCATTTTTCACAGTGGCTCCTTTTCAATTATTCTGCTGTGCATTCCAGGTTCAGTTCTTGAGACCTTAGAGGAACACAGAAGAATAGTAGGTTTATAAAAAATGTTATGTTGTGTGTATTGCGTCACGAATTAGGACGTAATGGGAAGAAGTGTTATATACAAACTACCTGCAAATGAGGGAGGAAATTACAACTCTTGTACTGTTTTACAAAGATTTAATTTGAACGAGCAACAAATAATTGGCTTTTTTAAAAAAATAAATAGAATGCCAATGGGGAAGGAAAATCAGGATTTTCTAGCATATACGTAGGCTGTTCAATAAGCAATAAGACTAATTTTACTGCCGCGAAACCACTCATTGGAATGTTAATTTTTGTGGCATAAAAAAAGTTTGGGTACTTTTCCGTTTTGCTGGCGGAGGCGATGAAGTCGCCAACAATTGTACAACAGATGACAAACGGAATATCCTCGCTGGTAACCTTTTACGCTTCATTTTCAAAACAAGTAGCAGCCATTTCTTATCAGATTGATTGTTTCTTTCAACATTGGCATACAATTACGTATAATTTTTATCACATAGTTCAATTTTATGCCCTAAGGCCATTCGCGGTAATTAAGTCAATTAAGATGCAATCACACCGCTCACCCGAAGGCAAAAATATAGAAAAGGCAAAGTCAAGGGTTAAATTCATGAATTCTAATGAGAATGCCCTAGCGAAGTAAAGCACTGCGGTTTTACATAACTTCTGAGTAAGCTATTCGTACGAATTGAAATAATTCTTGCATTTAAACTTGTATTCCAATTTAAATTGCAATAACTGGAAATTACTGAAATTACTAATTTAACTTGAAATTAATATAGATTACTGAGAGAATTAGATTTTTGTAGCGTAGTTTACGGGAGATGAGATCACTTGGGTTCACGTTATATGAACCTGCGAATCAGTATGATGAACCATGAAAGCATGGTAATTCTTGAATTAATGTCTTTTTACAAATTTATTGTCTTTATTTATTGACTTTTTACAAAATTTGAAACGATATTAAAATGATTATGCCATCAAAATAAAAAATTCTTATGCCTCCAAAATAAAAATTTCTGAGAACTAACATTTGTTAACATTTTTTATGTGTATACTGTATCTTGGCGCCAATACAGTCTGCTTGGTGAGATTTGCGCCGGGGAAACGGAAAAGTACCAAAGTTTGTTGTCTGTATTAACAAAAGCTACCGGTAGATGGCGCGTACAGGTTCATGTTCCTGAGTAGCAGGTGATTGAACTCAAGCGTGTTTGCGGGCGCCTACGAGACTCGGTCAGTTGTCGAAATGGAAGCTTCGATGGAACAACGTTATGTGATTAAATTTTCTGCAAAAATCAGCAAACAAAAATCAGTGTTCGTCTGCAAAAATCAGCATCGGAGACCTTTGACATGATACGTGAAGCTTTCAACGATGAAGCAATAGCGAGTGCAAGTGTTTTTCGCTGGCATAAAGCTTTTAAGGAAAGTAGGCAAAATGTGGAAGATATTGAACGTGAGGGACGAGCTTCAATATCCGTCACAGAGACAATGATTAACACAGCTGCGGTTATCATCAAGGAGGGCCGCAGAATGTTACAGTATGTCAGCTGCATGCTCTCTTGAATATTTCTGTAGGAAGTGTTCACTCAGTCGTGGCAGAATATTTGCAACTGAAACGTGTTTGTGCGCGATGGATTTCGAAATTGTTACAAGAAGGCGACAATTTCTTGAAACGCATCATCACAGCAGACGAAACTTGGTTGTATCACTATGACCCAACCATGAAACAACAAAGTAGTGAATGGAAGCATCAGTCTTCGTGTACTCCCAAGAAAGTAAAAACTGAGAAGTCGGTTGGTAAAGCTATAACCATATTTTTTTTTTTTGATTATGAAGGAATTTTGTATCAGCACGCTTTCGTATCCGGTAAACAGCTCGTGCTACGCGAATGTCCTACAAACGGCACGTTTATTCATTTGTACGGCACGTTCAAGAGGAAACGTCCATTGCTCCGAAATGGCTTCCTATTGCATCATGAGAATGTGCGACGACATATTGCTCGTTGCGTGCAGGATGTTTTACAGCAGAACAACGTAGAGATTTTACGCACCTTCCATAAAGTCATGATCTCGCTCCATGCAATTTCTGACTGTTTCCTGAACTTAAGAAACCGTTACGAGGCAAATATTTTGCAAGCAACAAAGAATGTGTATTGGCTGCAGAGGCAGTTTTGAAAAAGCTCTCAAAAAACGGACTTTTACGTGTTTTTCAGAAGTCAGTAGAAAGGTTTCAGTTTTTCAGAAGTGAGATAAATGCTTTGCGTGCCGCGGCAGTTATTTTGAAAAAGACCATGTAAATGATGACGATTAAAGGTATTCTATATTTTTTAAAATTTTAGTCTTATTGAACAGCCCTCGTATATATGTAATAAAAGCAAATTTTAGAAGTACTGAAGTGGGAACATTGAAATGTAGAATACACAGAGATACTGATTGCGCAGCACGTGGATGACATACTGAAGAAGAAGAATTTTGATTGCGTAGTTAAAGTGTAAAATACTTAATGATTAAGAAACTTGGCAGTGTAGGAGAATTAAATTCCATTTTTATTTAGATTTACATTTTTGGACACAATTCACTTGGCACTGTAATCGTGCCAATTTCCAGAACATTTACATTTTTGATACTGTTGCGGTAGGAAGCGATCACAATGAAACTGTATCCAAGCACACAGAGAGAAGCTAAAGTGCGTATTTATCCAGAATGACAGTTCACCAAAGAGGAAGGTTTTGGTTTAGGTAGAAAGGTTTCAGTTCTGATTTGTGCTTAGGTTCCGAATCAGCTACGTCATAGACGTTACGCAAGCCATGCAAGCTGGATTGATATAGAAATAACGCAATCCAAAGAAGTTATTTCGATTTTTAAGATAGAGAGGGAGTGTTAAGGGGTTATCGCTAGATTAATTTATAATTTTGATTTACATATTTCGCATATTTATATACATGGCTCAAACAATTGAGAATGCACCTTACTTTATAAATCTGCCGCTCAACCGGTATGGTGGTTAGCGTCGCCGATTGCCATGCTGAAGGACCCGGTTCAAATCCCGGAGAAGGCGTGTATGTTTGTAAATGTATAATGTTGGTGCGGCGCTCAAAATATGCGGCGACCGAAAGCCCTCTCGTGTAGTTTGGTGGAAGGGGAGAGAGGTGGAAGACCCTCGGTCCCGTCTTCTCGGTGTTTTCTATCGAAATTGGGGGCGGAACTGAGTTAAATTGCACTGTCACCTGAATGCTTCTCAAGGCTGTTGCCAACGGCAGGCGTAATCTAGCGCTCCTTGCCCCGAAAAATTTCGTGGGCTTGGGATTATTACGTCAGACGAGTGAATATAAGCAACAACAACTTGCTAAATCTAACTTGGTATCAATATAACTTTTACTTGATATCAATATAAATAACAAATTGCCAAGAAGAGCAAACACGTTTTTATTTTTACACATAACAAATGGTTAATTTAAAATAAAAATAAAGAACAATCCACCAAAATATTCTAAAATGAAAAAACATCAGAAGCATTTTAAATAACCATTTACAAACAAAAGATTTTTATTTAAAAATATTAAGAATACTTCAATGAAATTTGTGTGAGATCTTACATACAAAAAAGTATGAATATTTTGTTGCATGTCCTTTGGCTTTAATGATCTCTTCCAAACGTCGTGGTACCGATTCCACCAATACCGCTGTTTCGAGTGTGGTCATAGATTTTCTATGACACTGATGTCTGGATACTGCGGTGGTGTATGTAACTGCTGCTTACAATGAAAAGCACATCGCATTTTGACGTTATGTGCCGTGTGTTTGGGATCACTGTCGTGCTGAAATATGAAATTTTTTAGCACTTTCTTTTAGATTATTGTGGAGTATATTCAAGTAAACCATTGAGTCATAATGCCATCTATAAAAACTAAATGTCTTACCCCAGCTGAAGCCCTACAACCTCAAACTATAATGGAGCTACCACCATGTTTAACTTCAGGACGTAAATTTTTGGATCCAAAGCGGTGTTGGGCTTTCTGCATGTGGTTCAAGAGCTGTCCTTGCCGAAAATATTGGATTTATTTTAATCGCTGAATATAAATTTCTTCTAAAAGTTATTCATCTTCAATTGATGAGTATTTGCACACTCTATCGATTTTTCTGACTTTTGCAAGCTGATGAATGGTTTCTTTTTAGCAACTCTTCTTTTATATCCAGCTTCTCTAATTACATTTAGCACAATTTCAGCACTTAAAATTCTGTCAATGATTTGAGAAGTTTCTGCAGGAAGTTTGACTGCGCTTACTTTAGGATCATTTTGATATCCTTCAAAATTTTCCTTTTGGCAACATCATACCTGTGGTGTTGCTGGCCGTGATCGTATAAAGTGTCGATA